CCTGGGTGTCCCCAAATCCTGGGGTGGAGTTGGTGGACATGGTGTCACCCTTGAAGGTAAAGGAATGAGATCTCAGCTGCCCTGGAGTGAATAAATGCAGGGAGATACAGCATATTTAGTGAAGTATTTCACTGTGTTTATTCTGCTGCAGTGACCACGAACAGTTTGAACCATCTCCCAGGGAATACCAGCCTGGAGCCTCCGGTCCCCTGCAGCTGGTGTTTCCTTCATCCCAGTCCCTTCTTGGATATCAGGCATTTGGCCTGTGACATGACTCACATTAACCCTTTCCCTCACCTTGTGCTCTGCTTATTTTCACATTCACAGCTCCTGGATTTAAACTTGGAACCTTTGGTGCGAAGACTGTGCTGTTTATTTTTAATCGGTTGCACCATGTGATCATTAATTAGACCTGATAATAAAGAACACAAACCCATTGGCACCCTTCTTGGCAGTCCCATCTGAGGGTCTTGGCGTGGCAACAGCTCGGCTGCCACTCAGTGTGCAAGAAGGACATACTAGCCAGGGAACACGTTGAGTGAACCAAAATATGTCGATATCTCTCCATATCACTCGAGCAGTATTTGTCAGCTCAGGTACCGTGTGCTGATGATACAGAAACATTAGATATTTGTGGGGAAAATAAAGGCTGTTGTGTTGGTATCGTAGCTGCTCTAAATGGCTGGGCAGCCCAAGCACTCAGGGGCTCAGAGGATTCGGGAGCTAGGTAAGCAAAACCCCTGTGGCACCCTGCTGATGTAGATTCAGCATCGCTTCCACCCAGAAAATACCCACATGCTTAAAAATGCTCAGGAGAAAGGACCTGTGAGTATTTCTGGAGGTTGCTCCTGACTCCTGGTCAGCGCTCCTGGGAATCACAAAGTGTCTTTCCATGTGAGAGAGAATTTTGCATGTAAATGGCCACGGGACCAGGGTCCTTGGGAGGAAAATAGTGTCACCAAAACATTGGAACTCAGGATGCCCCATGAAGCCTCCTCATTTCTGGTGCTGATCCCCAGGCTCTGAGCTGTATCTGTATATATATGAGCTGAATCTGTCTATATGTATATCTGTATGGCTGCATCCTGGTTGTCCGTGCTCTGCGATGGCCAGATCAGGGTCCTTGCCGTTCTACTGAAGGAGCAGAGAGGGCATAAGGTCCAGCACTAGCTGTAGGGGAAAGTGGAGACAGAAGGTGGTTTGGCAGCAGTGCAGCAGCCTCCCTGCAATATCAGAATATCTAAATATCTAAAGAGAACATCTAAAGAGGAGCGAACAGTTCAGTTGCATTGATTATCTCCTCATAACCAGTCAGCCCCATGGTACAAGAAACTTCATCCTTTCCATGCTCGTTTAATGGTTAACTTGAATAACACAATCAAAAAAAAGTCTAAATAATCGAATTACATAAATAAATGCTTTTAGTCAGCTCTGTGACATACCTTGACGCAATGAGTAGCACAGATTAACTCTTTGTGATAGAGAGGATCTTTTTCCCTTCTTGATATTGCAGCAGGAGTAGCTGCATTGCTTTTTCTATACACCTTGGGTATTTTGGTGTTTCCCAAGAAGAAATAACTGTGGTGTTTACAGATGTTCCTATGGATCTCTCCCAGTGTCTTTCCACACATTTTCCTTGCCCTTCTCCTTTCCCCTTCTGTTTCCGCTGTGTCCCATCAGGCAAAGAATGGCCGGAAGTGCCCGGAGCAGCCCAGATTGGGGAATGCTGCTGAAGAGCCTAATAGGATTATAAGATTTTCCGTATTAATCTTTATCCCATTCTTTGGTCAGACTAACCTTTTGCTTAGACTTTTGCCTCCTGTTGCACAATTAGCTGGCTCCTCACTGACTTCTTTACAGCAGCTATTTTGCTCTTTTTCAAGGCAGTTTCAATTGATGGAGACCTCCAGCACGGAGCCGGGTAAGAATTGCTGGTTATTTGTTAGTGCTGCAAGTGAACTAGTCCTGACTTACCTGTGAATGCCACTAGTTCCTTGCCCTTTCCCTGTCCCTCGAGGGCCCAGGTCATATGGACAGGTCTCTAAAGCTTTAAATGTTGTAACTACTACATTGAACTTTGGGAGGCCCTGCTTTCTTGGTCAAGATTTCTTCTTCACTAAAAGAGGTAAGGCTTCCCTGCACATAGATCACTCAAAGGTAGATTTGAGAACTGGGTGAGGGGCTTGACACTATTTTTAACCTAAGGAAATGAGGCTTGGGCTGTCTGTCTTTCCTCTTCTTGCAACTTTAGTTTCCACAAATCAGTTTCAGATGGGTCAAAGGGGTGTCAGATATAAGTTTCTGTACTATTCCTAAAAAAACAGTGCTGGATAAGAGCTGTCTCCTAGCACTGTCCACCAGGTCAGAGCTGCATTGTAAACTCCACAGGTTTTGGCTTTCCAGCTGCCAGGCACCAGGCAGGCAGCCAGCACATGTATCGCAGGAAAAATGTGTGTTTTCCCATTCGGTGTCTTGTCCAGGAGGAACGTGGTGACAGTTTGGGTGTAGGATGGAGGACAGCCGGAATCAACAGGAATCAAAGATAACCTTTAAGTGACAGGAAACTTAGAGGGAAAAAAAAAAGAGATATAATCTTCAGCAGGGAAGACGAATGGAGGGAAGAGGTGGAGAGTGCTGCGTACATATAAATTGAATCAGCTGCACTCCTTATGCCTGATCCAAAGCCCAGCAAGGACAGCAACCTTAACAGGCTTTGAACATCCCCAGGTGCAGGTGTTTGTGTCTGTAACCTTGAACGTGCTGTACAGAAATGCCAAAATGGCTCTCTCCATTTTGTAGGGTGTGTTCTTCCAAGGTTAAGTGACTCCACTCATGGCCAGGACCCAATAGCCCTTAAACCTCTTTTCAGTCTGTTAAACTGTAGCAGAAATAAATATCCATAGATACAGACAACACATTAAAAGACAAAATCAGCAAAACTCGCTTGAGCAGAGCACATCACCTTAGTCACCATCGCTGGCTCTGCACATGCAAATATTTTGTGGGATTTCCTTCCTTCACAGGAATTTTTCCAAGTATTTATAGTGTCCATCATCAGTGATTCCGTAAACTTGCTTGATTCCTCAGCATCCAGTTACTTTCTGTTACCAGTGTAAACTGGGGAAGTGAGTATCAATCATCCAGTGAGCACTTGCAGGAAATAAAAGCATGAAAGCATGAAGCCTGCCGGGGCTGAGGAGGAAGGACAGAAATGTGGTACATTTTATAAGCAGAGCCAAAAATATCGTTCACTGTTGCTTGGTTGTTTTACTGAACTGTGTGGAGCTTTCTGTCTTTTGTGAACATTATCCTCTTTGGATTAAGTCCTGCAGCCATTGAACTCAGAGGGAGTATTTGTTATTGGCTTCATTGAGATCAGGATCAAACAATTAGCTGTGTTTTCCATTTTCTTGCCTTAAACAGTGTTGCTCTTTGCTAAGATGTTGCAAAGGACACCAAAGCATTTGCTTTCTCAAACTCTTCTTTCTGAGCATTGGTGTCTAATCCCTGCATATAGCACAGGCCCAGTGGCTGAAATAGGTTCAGAGGTGACTGTTTCCAGGAAAGGTTTTTTGAAGCCAGCGTGTAGGCTCTGTAAAATACTGAATATTTGCTCTCAGCAGCTGCTTTTCTGAAATCTGCATTGTGCTTCGGGTTTTGCTTTGCTCTGCCACAGTAAACGTGACGAATAGCCAGCAAATCGTCTTCGCTCACTGTTCAGAAATCAAGATGTGCTCGGGCTCGTTCCAGGATTTTGCAACTGCCTTCCTGAACTCCGAGAAATACGGTGGTGCTTCGGCTCCCTGAATGTAAATTTTTAATGTCTTATGCACATCATGGACTCGACTGTAATTACGAGTCCCATGGCACACAGACACTGTGGGCGGAATGTAAAAGGCAGCGGCAGGTCCATGTGCCTTCACAATTAGGGCCTGAAACATCGATCGTTTCCGTTCCCCAGAGCATTGCAAACAGCTTTATGAATTTAAAGCAAAAACTCCAAAGGAAAGAGGCATATTTGCAAGGCAATAAACATTCCCTGGCAGTGTCTTAAGTTCTGAATTTGCAGCATCATCCTACATTGAACAAAACTGGCTGAAACCTGGTGGGCAGAGCAGAGTGGTTTTGACAGGCTTATGCCGATGTCCAGAGGTGGATAAGCAGCTAGGCAGTGATGCAGAGGCATAGAGCAGTGTAGGACTCTTCCTTTCATAGGTTTAATGTAGGGTAAAGCCTTCATTCAAACCAAGGGCTGGTATAACCTGGGTGCTGATTTGTCCGGCATTTTCCAGCATTTCGTACTGGAGGAATTTCAGATAAATGGTTCTCATTTTGCCCTGTCTCTGAAAGCATTGCCCTTCTCGGGTTTCACAGTAGATTACTTTAAAATCATATTTTTCATTTCCTTTCAAGCATGGTGGTCTTATTTTTATGTGGTGTGTGACAGCCATCTTAGGTCAATATCTATTAAATATGATGTGGCCTTGTAAATTAGAGCCATGGAAACCATCCTGAAAGGGAAAGACAATTTGGATCCCTGCCTTTTCATTTGTATCACTGGCAGCAATTGCTTTGAATTCAGTGATGCAAAATCAGTCACATACTGTAGTTAGTGCACTAGAGCTTAAATCAAATTTTAGCATTTTTTGCTAGCACAAAAAACATGTTTAACAGAAGAGAAAAAAAATGTTCCTCTGTGACAGGAAATCAATTTAATCCATTCATCATTTTTTTCTTTTTCAGGCTGATATTTGGCACTCTTTACCCTGCATATTATTCTTACAAAGCCGTGAAATCCAAGGACATCAAAGAATATGTGAGTAATGAGGTTTGTGACAGTGCCACGGGGTTCCTTTTCTAAGATTGCTCCTTGCCACATTATAAAGATGTGACCTGGGCTCTGGGATGGCTCAAAAACCAGGACACAGGGAAGGCTGCCTGGTTCCTGGCTAGGCAGAAGGCTCAAGCGGGAGTTGATGTCCTCCTTGGCAAATGCAGCAGGCTGAAAAGGTGTTTGCTGTCCAGAGCTCTGCTCTGTGTTTTCCTTTGTTTCTGAAGAGTGGCATAAATCAAAGCCTCTCCCAAAAGCCCTGAAGCTTTAGCTGCACGTTCAAAACAGTGATCAGAGGCAGCAACTGGAAGCATGTGTGCCTGAATCCTGAGACACACACATCTTTCCTGCTGGAGTGACCTGTTTTATGAAAGGTCTCATGGCTGGGTGTGCTGCTTTGTCCTTTTGCTGAAAAATCTTCCCTTGGCCCCTCTTTCTAAAGGCAGAAGTGCCATTAGGGAAAGGGAAATGTGGGAAAATCAATAGCACTTGGACCCCGTTGGTGTCCTATGGGATTTGCAATCCAAGCTCTTTGTTAACTGCTCTGAACCTGGCTCAGCCTCCAGATCCTCTCAGGGACAACGAGCCCATTTTCTCCCCTGGGTAACAGCTTAGGTGACTATCCCATTAAGTCCTTAGTGCAAACTCAACTGTGGCTCAGAGCGGCTGCTAAGATCTTTCCAGTCTATCATTCTGCTCATTCAGATTATGGTTTTGGATATTTAGGGAATTGTGTTGCCCAACACACCAGATACTTCAGGAAAACTGTCCTTGCAGCCCTTGCAGAAGCTGTACTTCTCAAGCCTGGTGCATTCCCTGCTTGGAAGTGCTGGCGCTTGTGCTAGTGTCCCCATGGAGTGTCTACTGCTGATACTTAACGTTTTCACAGTCCCTTTCTGCAGAATTTTTGTTGAAGTGTCCACTTCCTGCTGGGACTTGAGCTGCAAAAGAGGAACTTGCATTAGATCTATGGGGTCATAACCCTAATTTGGGAGTAGTGGATCTTAGAACTTGGCTGTACCTGAAATTGGTTTTCACTGTAACGTATCAGTTATGGGGATCCGTCACCTAGAGGTCTGATTCAAAAAAAAAAAAAAAAAAAGAAATTAACACTGTCACAATAAAAACTTTCACATAGGTATTTCTGTGCTAATCTAAACTTATATCACTGTAGTTTGTATTTGTTCTGTTTAGTAATGGTGGTTTAGGTTATCTAAGCCCCTCCACACCACATTTTGGGTTGTGTTTAAAAGCTTTGCTGGCAGCAGTGCCTGACGGAGCTGTGCTGGCAGCAAGATGTTCAAGGAGTCCGTTACGTAAAAGCCTGGCAGAAGCTGCCCTGGGAAGATGTTTTTCCCAGGCGTTTGCCAGTGTAACTGCTGTAACCCCAATAAATGTCAGGGGGGCAGAAATACAGCTGGGCCACAGGTACTTGTAGATGGAGAGACGGTTCAGGTGCTGTCTCCACTGCTGCCATCAGGAGAGATGCTGGAGCAAGAGCTGGTGAGATCCAGTGTGTTGTATCCCCCTCGAACTGCTCTCTTTGCAGCCTTCTCTCAGTCAGCAGTAATTATCCCAGCCTCAATTAACATGATCCAATATTGTCATTCAGACAAAGCCTAAAACTCTGATGGCTTTTACTTCATTAAGCTTTATAACATTCCAGCAAAGCTGCTTAGGCATACAGCTATTTTTTCCAGACAGGAATGGCTTTTTTTTTTATATCAATTTGAAATTTTCCATTTTCGAACCATCCATAGAACCATCCATTTTCTTCTAAATGAACAATTTACCCTCATTTTTCTTTAAGAGATACTGATCCTTAAAGCCTTTTTTTTAAAACTTTCAGTTTAATGGGTTTTCAACAGAAGAAAATTATTGCAGGAGAATCAAAATGTACCTCATCTCCAGTATTTGGAAATTACTACACCCTTCACCTCTGTGATAATAGTGCACCATACCACTTAATAAAAATTAGTGGATGTGCAGGTAGCATATGCATATAAGTCATTTCCTTCCAGACCATATCTCAGTACAGCTTAGTCCTACCTTTAAATGCCATTTACTACTCAATAGCAAAGAAAAACCCAACAACAAAAAAGTGAACAAACAGACTCTTGAATTACTCAAGACACTGCAGTTTCCCTGATCAAAGACTCCTTCCATGTCACTGTTGCCATAGAGGAGGGCCCCCCCATAAACCATCCACTGCAGAGTGCCTCTAGTGGAGTTAGTGCATGTGCTTGCACCACGAATGTGAGCTAAAATGCTCAAGCTGAAGCTCTAATTACAGAGATTTACTGTATGGCACTTGCCCTGGCAGTGCAACGGGTGTGCAAGGCACACATGCAGGTAGGTGCCATGAATCAACCAATACATGCTCATTCAGTGACTTGTGGTAAGTTGATTTTGTGTGTCACTCCTGGATCGTAGGATGAGCAGATAGCTCTCTCTTTTTCCCTGGCTACTTTTCCCTGTCTGTGGATATTATATAAGCAATTATATTTAGGCTTAATTGCAATTTGGCCCACACCCTCATACCAGCCTTCGGTATTAAGATGAGCCAAGTGAGATTTTTAATGACCTGTGGCAGAGCTGTAGCCCTCAGTTGTCCAGTAGAGCTTCCTCAATAGGATCAGTGGGTCAGAATGTCCTGGCGTTTTGTGAGACCAATCCAAAGGGCCAAATTCCTCCTTCCCAAGGGCTTGTGTGCAAATCTGAGGTGTCTTTTGTGCTGAGGTGGGAGAAGCCCTTTCATCATATTTAAGTCCTTAGTAACTATATATAGAGGGAAAAAAATGACCCTCTTTTCTGTGAGGGTTACCCTCTGGAAAAATGACCTAACTTCTGCTTTCTTTTGACAGGTCAAATGGATGATGTACTGGATTATATTTGCACTCTTCACAACAGCAGAGACGTTCACAGATATCTTTCTTTGCTGGTGAGCATCAGATGGGAGGGTCTTTGGACTGAGATGGAAAGAAAATGAAGAAGTTTATATAAAAGAGAGATCTGCAGGACCGTGTTGCCTCTTGCACACAGACTGAGCAGCTTTGGGAGCGTAGAAGTATTTTGTCTGAAGGATCCAGGCATCATTTCTTAGTGTTGTTGTATGAAGAGGGAGGAAGAGGATGGAACAGCTCAGAGGTTATTGAGAAATCATTACAGGAAGCTCTGTCCCCAGTCTGTGGGGAATTGGACTCTGTCAGAGACACAGCTCATAATTGGGTTCGATCCTTCCAGAGATGATCACAGAATAAACAGCAGCTTTAGCTACAGGCACAGATCCGAACTTACCTAATTGTGACCTAAAATAATTACACAGACTCTGTGATTCAGGCAGGAAGAGCACTGCAGCGCAGGTGTTGCCTCCAGCTTGCTGCATGGGTGGTGGTTGTTCCTGAGATGTTTCCCAGGCCCTTTCCTGGGTGGACTGGGTTGATGAGCTGCTGGAATCTGTGCTGAGGGGGGTCACTGGCACCAGTCAAAGGCTTCTTGGTAGCATTTGTCAGGATCAGAGCACAAAAATGCCCAATAATCAAATTCAGTGCCTTAAGTTTAGACGCTCGAGTCTGCAGATGTTGGTAGCCTTTACAGTAAGGCCTCTTCCAAGTTAGTGAAAACTGATATCAGTGGATTTGAGGTTTTGGGTCCCTGGGATTTAGCTGTAGTGCCTGTCTCTCATCTTTAGCCTGTCCCTAGACAGCACTGAGTGCCTGTAGTGAGTCCTCCAAACAAAGGGGATGGGGGACATTGGCACCAGGTCAAGTCTGGTGCCAAAGGAGACATTATTGTGTCTCTGTCTAGTTAGCGAACCCGCGGCCCGGGCGGGAACAGCCTGTGACTGGAGTCTACTGTGAAAGGGAGATCCTTGTCGAACAGAAGCCTAGACTGGCAAGTCCATGCCCAGAGTAGAGCCTGAGGGGCTTGATGGGTCAGGCCTGGCTGCTGCATGGCCAGTGTCTTTCAGTTTCAGACAGATAAATGTTAACCGCAGAAAGAGGAATGAAAGGCTCATAAATAAATTGATGTAGCACTCATTTCTTGGGTGCGTTTTTACTGCCTCCCAACGACTGGGGCTGCTATAAAGGCAGCATCTGTGCTCCCCCCCATTGGAGACAGCAACTCTTGTCACGCAGCAGGATCTCTGACGGCCCGTTAACTAATGGCCCTAGTACCCGAGCAAAGGGCAGATTTGCTCACATGCCTAGCTGAGGTACATGCCAGGGTGACTGAACATGTGTTGGTCCTTGGATTCTCTGGAAAGCAAAACCTGCCTTAAACTAAGAACTGGCCAGTTCCTTCTTGTGCTGAGCATCTCTGATGAGTACAGTGGGCACTGACAGCTCTTTTTCTCTTCTAGGTTTCCATTTTACTATGAACTCAAAATAGCTTTTGTAGCTTGGCTGCTCTCTCCATACACAAAAGGTTCCAGCCTCCTGTATAGAAAATTTGTTCACCCAACACTATCTTCAAAAGAAAAGGTAAGCACAGATGCCACAGCCTTCCAGGGTGAAGCAGATGTACAGTGTTTGCTCCAATCTCTATATCACTCACTCACATTGAAGGACTGGGAGCTGCTGATTCTCCGATCACTTTACCATCTCTCTCTCTTTTTTTTTTTTTTTTTTTTTTTGTTGTTGGTATTTTTGTTGTGTGTCTGTTGTGTTTTTAAATACTGGCATCTGTTCAGCTCACTCACACGTATTAGCTCATCCCTGGGCACTTGAGAAGTTAGGAGGGAGGAGAGTAAAAATACCTTCTGTGTGGCTTTGCACATCCTTGTTCAATATAGCTGGTGTGCTGTGTTGTGGTGGATGTTTTTAGAGCAACAGGGTCTGGCAGCCAGGATGTCTTAGCTTTGTACCCAGCTCTACATAAGGGGCTTGCTGGGAAGCTATGAGACAGTCTATCCTGCCTGTGAAAGGAGCTTGGGAAGCGATTGCCGGCCTGGGAGAGGTAATAGCACCTAGCGTGAGCCTTGTGAAGCATGTTGAGGTCCTGGGTTGAGAAATGTCTTGTTGTTAACTTCAGAGGGAGCATTAGATCATTTGCCGGCTTCAAGAATGACAGTGGCTCTGAATGGGACGTTGTCAGGCAGATCCGTTTGGTGCCTCTGCTTGCATGGGCTAAGAACTGCTCTTAGCCAAGTAGCAGCATGCAAACTGTTAGGAAGCAAGTGACTGACCCACAATGGCAGTTGTGGAGGTGAAGGATTGCTCTTTAGTCACAGACAGGCTGTTGTCTCTCAGTCTTGTCCCAGAAGGACAGTGGGGGTTAGTCCCCTGTCTCTCTGCTTCCTGGGAACTTCTGCTTCGGCTCCCTGCGAGCAGTGCTTGTGCATTTGCGGTATCTGAGTCCAGCAGCACAGGACCTACCAACCTCATGAATGCATTGAAGCCAGATCCTGCAGTAATGTGCCAAGAGAGCAAGGCTGGGAGTGCTCTGAACTTGTCCCTCTCTGTTTTTTCCTTTGTCTGCTATGGCAGGAGATTGACGACTGCCTGGTCCAGGCGAAGGATCGGAGCTACGATGCCCTCGTGCACTTTGGGAAGCGGGGGCTGAACGTCGCGGCCACGGCCGCCGTCATGGCAGCCTCCAAGGTAATGGTGCGGGGTGGTACGGTGACATGGGTGGCACCGGTGTCTGCATCCATCCATCACCAGCAGCAGCTGCAGTGGGAGCTGGGGGAGACAATGTGGGTAGAGATTCACACAGAATGCAGAATGGTTGAGCTTGGAAGGGACCTCTAGAGATCATCTAGTCCCCCTGCTCCATCAGGGACACCTAGAGCATGTGGCACAGGGTGGCATCCAGGCGAGCTCAGAAGATCTCCAGAGAAGGAGACTCCACAGCCTCTCTGGGCAGCCTGTTCCAGGACTCTGTCACCCTCACAGTGAAGTTCTTCCCCATATGGAGATGGAACTTCCTGTGTTTTAATTTGTACCCATTACCCCTTGTCCTATCACTGGCCACCACTGAAAAGAGTTTGGCCCCATCCTCCCTACATTTTCCCTTCAGGTATTTATACATGTTGATCAGATCTCCTCTCAGTCTTCTCTTCTCCAGGCTAAACAGGCCCACTCTCTTAGTCCTTCCTCATAGGATAGATGCTCCAGGCCCTTAATCATCTTCGTTGCTCTTCGCACTCACTGCTTTTGGTCATGCCTCCCAATCTCCCCTTCATCAGCCACACAAGTGCCTCTTGGGATGAATACTGTATAAAAGGCATGAGTGTCTGGAGGTTAGAAATTGTGCTGCAAGGTTAACACATACCTGGAAGCAAATATATATACAAGTGACTGGGAAACAGTGTTAACAGAAAATAGCTGGTATCTCTATTTTTCGTTGGCAGAAAAACAGCATGAACTTGATAACTGCTCCCAGACCAAGGCTTACTGTGGTTGAGGGTAGATATGCACAGTGACCACACTCTTATGCTTTCGGGAGCAAAATTTGTAAAGAAGATACGATTTTCATACCTTTTGCAAGAGGATATATATGGGTGAAATGAGTATTAGGAAAAGCATATGAATGGGAGTTTAACGAATTGATTTTGCTCTGCCACATGCTTCCTATATGACCTCAGGCACATCAGTCAATCTCTCCTGGCTTTAGCTTCTGTAAAAACAAGTAATATTTCCCTAGGTAGCCAGATATGTTGAGATCTATAAAACATATTGAATGGAAGATATTATGGAAGCAGGGAGTCCCTGGGATGTGCCATGCACAGGTGGGAGGAAAGACCTGTGTCATCGTCTGAAGAGATGAGAAGAATTTTCTCTCTTTCAAAAAACCAAGCATTGTGCAGACTCTGGCTCAGGCCAGGGGCAGCTCAGACTGCTTTTGAACTGTTGCTTTTTCAGGAAGGTTTTGCTAACTCAGCTAACCCCGGGCTGAAGTGAAACCTGGGATAAACAGGGAGCTAAGGCAAAACTGTGTGTTACATGCCCAAGGACGCAGCGTTTGTGTGATACCTCTGTGACACTGAGGCTTTTGCTGCTGCTCTGGAAGCACGATGAAATTGCACCATGGACATAAGTTAGGCTTTGGGAATGCACTCCCTTTTTTCCTAAACCCTTCCTATAATGCACTGCAGACTCTCTGTGCTGGAGCCATTTGTAGCACAGGAAGAAAGTGTGCATAAATCCTAAAAAATTCTGATTCCTGCTTGGGTAGCCCCACAATATGGGCAGCCTGCAGTAGTCCTGACCCACAGTGGCCACTTGTTCATCTCAGGATGGAGCAGTGTATTTATCAGCTCTTTAGCCTGAAAAAATAGTCAACACCGCTGTTTTTCTTCCTGCCTTTCTGCTTTTCCACTACGTTTAAGAATCCTGCTCCCTTGAAATGCAAATCCAGTGACAGCAGGAAGCTGGGAGGAAGATAGGAGAGTGATCAGGGTCCCAGGAAGATAGTCTGTTGCCTCACTGAACAAAGCTGGAGGAAAGCAATCCACCCTGTGGCTTCTGTAGTGTTGTTGTATGGCACATCTGCAGGCCTAACCTTAGAGGCAACAGTTAAAATAGTGCAAAAGATAAAATAGTGCTACATATACCGGACCAGAAGAGTGTTTCCTGCACACTACTTTGGGTAGGAGAGAATAATCTGTCGATAATATTGAGAGGGAGTTATTGGATTGATTGGTGGATTTTTTATAGCAAAGCAAGGACCATTCTTGTCTTTCCTTCAGCTCTGAGAATAGAAGTAATGTGAATACCCAAGCGCAAAGCAGGACTCCTGGCTACCCTCATGACATCAGCACATGTTCCATAGCAAGGTGTTTGCCTCGGTGTGCCTTGGGTTGCAGATCCAAGAGACAGGGCAAGCTGATACAAGATCTCTCCTCCTCCTGAATGGACTGATGCTCCTGCTCCCACTGGTACACTGGACCTCTCCAGGTTCTCTCTAATCCATGAGAAAACCCAGAAAGAGAAAGAAAGAGAATAGCATTTTTTTCTTAGCAGGTAAAAGAGCTCACAGTGTGCTTCAGAAGTGCCTGAGCCAGCACAAGGGAGGAGACAGAGCTGCATGGTGAGAAGTGTGACGAGAGGAAAGCAAAGCGAGGTCTCTTCTGCTTGTGGGGAGCCGTTGGCTCAGATCCACTGCTCACAGGGCTGCACCTGAGCACATTTGCACCCTTCATGGTGTGTTAGTCAGGAGCGGTTGAAGTGGTTTCAGTCCCTCCCCTTCTCCACCAAATTTCTCATCGTTTTGGCAGAGAGTGCCAATGGCTGAGGTTTACAGCCTGACATGCTGCAGCACGGAGTGCGGAGTTGGGATTAGTCTGGTGTCCCAAGATGTGAAGGGCGAGGGGTCAGTGTGGACATGTGCCCATTTGCTGTCCTTGCTGCCAAGGGAGCCGTTTCCAAGAGAAGGGTGATACAGGCAGGTAGGGGTGGTAACAACAGCTTGTGTTGCCCTACTTTTCCACAGATTTTAAATGTTTGTCAACACCCTGACATGCTCCCTTGAGAAAGAGGTATTACAGGACTAGATTATCTCACATGAGAGAAGTTTAAATGACTAATTATGTGGAAAATACTTTGAGCTGACACATGCCAAGCAAGTCTGCTTGCCGGGGCAGGAGGAGAGCACTCTGTGTAAGGCTTATTCTGGCTTTCTGAATGCCAGGGTTTAAAGGTATTTACCTAGCATGTGATAAGCAGTGAGGTAGGTGAGGAAGTGAGCCCTGAGCAGATTCTTTAGGTTACCACCTTTGACCGGTCAGGTTAAAATTGGAGCCTATAGAAGTGACCAGATACTCAGAAGTATTGAGCACCTGCAGCTCTCGTGGAAAATGTGGCTTTTGCCAGTGAGAGGATGTGAGGAACTCTCTGTCTTCTCTTGGATTAATGAGTGAGGAAAAGGTGCTGAGGATTAAAGGGTGAGGAAATGGACCCCCAGACGCTGCAATTCAGCATCTTCTGCTAGCAGATGCCCAGTGAGATGCTGAGCTGAAAATGTACTCCTCACAGGCCTATTTTCAGAAATCGACGTAAATGGGAGGGCCCTCGTGCTTGGAGACAGGCTTCCCGCTGCAGTAGCCCTGTCCTCCCCATTCCTCTAGGTTGTTTTAACTGATCTCGTGACTCCCATGGTTGTCTGCATCCATCAGAGTCTTTTGCCTTCGTTGAGAAGGTCTTTGGGCAAAGCCTATGTCTTTGTTCTGTTCATAGATCACCCGACGCAACGCGGCTGCCCCTCAGATTAGGGGCAGCTCCGTGTCGCTACTTATGGGTTTATCACTGGCTGAGGTGCTGCAGACTGAGCGCAGACACATGTCCCTTGGTTGTCTCCGATCCCCTGGCCATTTCCCCTGCCTATTTTGAGCTGTCCAAGTGCAGGCTTCGCTTTCCCGTCCCCTACTTCCCGCTGCCCTCCCCATTGTGTTTTGTTTTGGAGCCGCAGTTGTGCTAACCCTGGCACAAAGCTGTGCCAAACCATTTCACGGGCCGAGGAGCTGTCAGTGGCCCAAGCACCCCGTGCCTCCCAGCTGGCTCGCTGGGGTGTTTTCTCCCTCTCAAGAGAGTCTATTTTTGATGGCCGCCAGTTGGAGACAGCGTGTGGGACATCTGGTTTTATTCCCCTGCTGGGTTCTTGGGTCTTCTCCGTGCCCCAGCAGCCGGCGTTCCCCTCCCGGGAGCGCAATCGCCTTAGGGGCCGCTAATCCTGACCTCGCTGCTTGGTCATCCTGTCACACGCTGTAACTTCAAGTGGGTCAGCGCTAAATGGTGGGATTAGATGACCAGGCAGTAAATCCTGCTGGTCTTTGCATGTTTTCAATTAGCTCCGGCTCCTTCAGCCATCCCTGCTCCTGAGGGCTCCTAAGCACCGATCACCTTTTGGAAAAGACCCCAAAAGCCTTTGGGAGTGAGCAGCTCTCCTTCCCTGTGCCTGGGGAGAAGAGGGGTGTTAGAGCCCCGCGCGTGCGGCTCTGGCTGGGTGGGTGCAGGGCCCAGAGAGTGGCCTGCCGGGCCGGGTGCTGCCGTGAGCAGCTCGGGTGAGCGAGTGGCTTCAGGGAGGAGGCTCCGGCTGCTGGGAAGCGCCTCCAGACCCCTACAGCACAAGCCCCCTCGCTGGCACCATGATCCAGCGATTGCTGTTCTGGCCTCCACATTCTCCACCGCTTTGTCTGTCACCCTGAGCCTCCTGCCGCTTTGGTCTGTCCCAAAGCCCAGCTCTGCCACTCCCACCTTCCTTTGCCCAGATCCTGTTTCCTAGATCCTGTTTTCCTTGTTCATCATCCCAGACAAACTATTTCAGCCGAACAGGCCAATGCCCTCTCCCTGCAGACAAATAACCACCCAACTCTCTAACCCCCGCAAGGCGCCACTCACAGGGAGAGCTGCCGAGAAGGTCCTCGAGCTGGGCCCTGCCCATGTTTCTGACCCCGTCCTGCGCCCTGCTGGGCCAGGGGCTGTTTGGTGCCGTGGCCCGTGGGTGCTGCCCTCGGGAGAGGGGTGCAGGGCAGCGCAGGCACTGGGCACGCTGCCGTGGCAGGGGGGAGCCGCACGCGTGGCTGCTCTCTGTGAAAAGCCCCTTTGTGCCTCGCAGCCTGAGAGGCAGCCCAGGAGGCTTCTGTGCGTGGGGAGATGCAGCT